GGGACTGGGAGCACTGGGGAGCACTGGGAGGACTGCGAGTGCTGCGGGGACTGGGAGCACTGGGGAGCACTGGGAGGACTGCGAGTGCTGCGGGGACTGGGAGCACTGGGGAGCACTGGGAGCACCGGTGGGACTGGGGAGGACTGGGAGCACTGGGGAGGAGAGCCCAGGGATGCTGCCGGGCGCTAACTGGGAGCCGGTACTGGGGGGACTGGGGAGATGCGGCACGGAGCGCCCTGGGATGCTGTTGGATGCTGGCTGGGAGCTGGGACTGGGAGCACTGGTGGGACTGGGGATGCGGCTCGGAGCGCCTGGGGATGCTGCCGGGAGCTGGGACTGGGAGAACTGGGGGGGACTGGGGAGACGCAGTGCGGAGCGCCCGGGGGTGCTGCCGGGCTCTAACTGGGAGCCGGGACTGGGAGCACTGGGGGACACTGGGGAGATGCAGCCCGGAGCACCGGGGGATGCTGCCGGGCTCTGACTGGGAGGCACCGCAGAGCCGCTACTGGGAGCACTGGGGGATCCCAGGGGTGGTAACTGGGAGGCGCAAGGGGGACGATACCTGGGAGCTGCAACTGGGAGAACTGGAAGGTCCTGGGAGACGGGAACCGGGTGGAGGGTCTGAGTGGGAGACACTGGGAGGTACTGGAGGGCTGTAACTGGGAGATACAGGGAAGCGGTAACTGGGGCAACTGGGAGACGGAAACTGCGTGGGTACTGTAACTGGGATTTGCTGGGAATTCGTGACTGGGAGCGGTGGGGATGCTGGAACTGGGAACAGTGTGGAGGCTGGAACTGGGAGATACTGGGAGACAGCCTGGGGCTGGGACTGGGGGCTACTGGGAGATACCGTGGGGCTGGGACTGGGGGCTACTGGGAGATACCGTGGGGCTGGGACTGGGGGCTACTGGGAGATACCGTGGGGCTGGGACTGGGGGCTACTGGGAGATACCGTGGGGCTGGGACTGGGGGCTACTGGGAGATACCGTGGGGCTGGGACTGGGGGCTACTGGGAGATACCGTGGGGCTGGGACTGGGGGCTACCGGGGGCTGTGACGG